ATTAGTTTAAATCTCTATTATATTTAATAAAAAAAAAAAAAAAAAAAAAAAAAAAAAAATATTATTTTTATTTGATAAATAAGCAATATATTATTTTTATAAATCATATATAAAGACTTAATAAATAAATAAGTTGAATCAAGAAGATTATAAATAAATAACTTCAGCTTAATTGAAAATTTAAAATAATAATAATAATAAATAATAAGTAAAAATAAAAATAAAAAAAGTTTCAAAACAATTTTATAAAAAGTAATTAAAATAAGTCTTTTCTTATATAATTTAAGAAAAAAACAAAATCTTTAATCTTACTTTTTCTTGATCAAAGGTTTTATTTTAATGTACATTGTATTAATATACTTTTTTAATTTTTATAAGATTTATAGTAAAAGTAAAAAAGTATGAAAAACTTATAAATATTGAAAAATGAAAAAAAAGGACTTTTTTTTCCAAAAAATTATGGTACCACTGCATATGCATGTATGATCATGTTCTTGGTTTCAGTGATGCAAAAAAAAAAAAAATACAAAGTAATTTAATTGTTTTATTTGTAATGCTCGGATGGATTATCTATCATATAACCCGTGACTGGTTACGTAAGGAGTAATATTAATTAACGCGGGCATTAGGTTCTCACTTTTCATTTTTGCACCATGGACTATAATACAGCTGTTCCACACAAAGTTGTAGGGGCCTTTCTAGCGGATACAGACGCCGGAGGCAACGATGTCTGCACGAGTAATTCTGAGATCAAAGAATCAAAGAATAGTAATAATAACGAGTGTTGTCAACAAAATGGTCAATTATGGGGTTCTACTGATGATCAAATTTTTTCGCAGGATGGAAAAACAATAATAGCTGTTGGTCATGCTTCCGCAAAATCTGTTGTTCCTCTTGAACTCTTACGATCTATATATTTGCCTGAGCAACCACATGATAGGATCTTTGATCTCAAAACAAGAACCATTTCTTATCTCCACACCAGATCCTTTATGCCGGTCAAATCACTAGCACCGGGAGAGAAAAAAAGGATATTAGTTACAGGAGGAGCTGGATTTGTGGGTTCTCATTTGGTTGATAGATTGATGTTAATGGGGCATGAAGTGATTGTGATTGACAATTTCTTCACGGGTCGCAAAAATAACGTTGCTCACTGGATAGGCCATCCTAATTTTGAGCTCATTCGCCATGATGTAGTTGACCCATTCTTAATTGAAGTTGATCAAATTTACCACTTGGCGTGTCCAGCATCACCACCTCATTATCAATACAACCCCATCAAGACAGTAAAAACAAGTGTAATGGGTACAATCAATATGCTCGGTCTAGCTAAACGCGTCAAGGCTCGTTTTTTGCTAACATCTACATCAGGCACGTATTATTTCTGACTGTTCGATAAACTTTACCAGATTCATTTCTGCTTGGCTATATTGTGTACCAAATTTTCAAATTGTGTATGCATTTTAGTCGGTCAGTTTGAAAGGTCGAATTTTTAATGTTGCTTTTTTTAATAATATTGGGAAACTCAAAATAATTGCAAATTTCAATATTTTCTTTCTATTGTATTGTCACTGGTAGAAGTCTATGGTGACCCCGAAGAACATCCTCAATCAGAAACATATTGGGGTCACGTAAATCCTATTGGTCCAAGGGCATGTTATGACGAAGGCAAGCGAGTAGCAGAAACGTTGACATATGCTTATATGCATCAAGACGATGTGGACGTCAGAGTCGCTCGTATTTTCAATACTTTTGGTCCTCGCATGAATGAAAATGATGGTCGTGTAGTGAGCAATTTTATCTTGCAGGCATTAAAGGGAGAAGATCTTACTATCTACGGAGATGGTTATCAAACCCGTTCATTTCAGTACATTCACGACTTGGTGGACGGATTAATCTTATTAATGAATAACGACTACACAGAGCCAATCAACCTAGGCAATCCCGATGAATATACTATATGCAAATTTGCTGAATTGATTCGTAACGAAGTTAACATTTCATGTAAGATCAAGACTCTACCAGCGCCGACAGATGATCCTAAAAAACGACGACCTGATATTACAAAAGCCGAGCAGGTTCTTGGATGGAAGCCACGATGGCCAGTCAGGCAAGGTCTAAGTGAAACTGTTAAATATTTTCAACGACAGATGGAGGCGGGACTCATATGATTAATGATAGCATGAGCATGGAATTGTGATATTTGATCAGATAGAAATTCTTAATGTAATAGTAGATATAGATTTTTTCCGACTATCGTCAGACGCAAGTAAGCACAATACGTATATATAGTATATACTTATTTAATTTTTTGTGCTTCCATTCGGATTTATGTTTTGGGTTTTATCACAAATGTCTCAAATTATTAAGGATAGCTTTATAAAAAATACTAGCAATTATAAAATCTTTGCATTTATAAATTAACTATAGATAATTTTCAATGATACTTGTATATACAATTTATATTTATTTTTAGCGATCTGCACTGATTTGAAATAAAGATATAACTAGCATATTGTTTAGAGTATATAAAAAGGTTAAGCCCAAAATTGTTGATATTTTAAATAATGTTTCTTTATTTGGAGTATTCTTTTTAATTTTTTATATTTATACACCTTATGTATATGATTTTAATGTTTTTTTTAATTTATAATATATTTATTTTTTATAAAAAATTATACAATCTTAACTACGAATTAAAATAATAATATTCTTTTAAAAAATATATTTTTGTAACAAATAACTTGTATCAATAAATAATTCACAAATTAAAAAATATTATATTGTATAATTGAATAATTAAATAGTTTTAAGTTATAAATACAAATTACCGAGTATAGAATTATTAGTAAGCCAATTAATTTTTTTATTTAGTAAACTTAAGTATATATATTGTATATATAGAAAGTCAATATAGTACTTTTTAAAGTTGATTGATTTTGAAAAAATACTACGTAAGTGAACCAGAATTATCAGTAGCTTAATAATATTTTACTACTAGTGAGGTGTTCTTGTTATTATTATTCAGATCCTTTGGAAAGTGTTCTTACACGGTCTCAACCAAAACTGTAGAAATTCAAGATCAAAATGATGAATTGTGCATATGGGTTATTATTTAAACCTAGCCAAATCTCAAGGAATAATAAGGAAACCTACATACATTTAACATCCTCCGAGTATCTCTATCGCAACTATATGCACAACTAACTTTTTTTAATTTAGCCTAATAAACCGTTGCCGTTGCCGTAATTGTCCTTATACTCTCGTAATAATTCTAGATACAATTTAGCCAGTCGTCGGCAATTTACCAAAGCATTTACACCCTCAGTTTTTTGGCATTTGCTCAATTGTTGTTTGACTAATCGAACTTCCATTGCTCTAACCCAATGTTCTCGAATTTGATATTCTTTGTTTGCCAATA